TTGGGACTCCTCATGACTCCATGTTGGACTTTTCACTTTAGAAAGTTCCTGCGAGAGTCATCAGGACTCCTTACGATTCCTGCTGGAGTTTTTCATAAACTTGGGACTCCCGTTGGGGTTTTGCCGGGAGTCTCGACTAGGGCTAACATTGACTTCCACATTTAGCAAAGACTTCAACTCTCTATCTAATTTCAATGAAAAGTTCTTAAGAAAGTAACTACATTCATTCTTTTTTTAAATGGATAATAGTTTTAATTGAATGACTTCTTACGAACTTTTGAAACATCTTGCACTACTCTCAAGTTAAACAACGCTATGTTTATATTAATGATTCGCCCAATTTCCTATCGGCTACTTCTTCTTAAGAAGAATCCAACTGGCGAATCAGAAGAAGAGAAAGAAAAATATATCCATTCATCATGATTGACGATGACAGAGTTTCTATTGATCTCTATTTATATTGAATTGCATTGATGAAAGGAGATCGCGCGATATGTTTAGTAAACACTATATAGATCTCTGTTAGACATTCTTTTCAAATAATTGAAAGAATATATAGTATCGCTCTATTTGTCTAAAAAGCATTTAGTTATAAATATCTCGTTAAATAGAGAGAAAGAGAAAAGTGAGAAGATATCAGAACACCTTAAGAGATTATAGTATGTATAGCTGTCTTAATCACACACACAAATATGAACAGATTTTTTAGTAAAAGTAATGTGACAATATTAGCATGAAAATCTTGTAAAGAATTAATTAAGCTGACTATTATTATACATGAAATAAGTCAAATAACTGTCACACCTAAACATGATATACGGTCATGTTACCACTCATCACAGACGGTCACTGGAATAAACAATATAAAATGCTCAAATAAAAAAATCAGCCAATAAATCACTTTTACCCTACTGTAAAATGTTACAAAAACTATCTATTTTGTCTTGTTCTTTTTGAACTGACAAAAGAAAGAGGACAGTTATCAAACTGTCTAATTGAAAGTCTAAAATCCCTTCCTCATTCTCTGCATTATTCAAGTCTCAACTAGAAAGTTATTCTTGTCTCTTATTAATGCGTCATGCCTCATTCATCTCTAAACGTATTATCTTTTTCAACCACAAAAAAAGAAGAATGCGTGTGGCAACGGACTTATGGTCGATTAATTTTCTTTAAATCATTTGTGTCAGGACAAATTGCACAAAATATTAGAAAACATGGTGCCAAATAGGCTTTACTTGAAAATTATTGTATATCACACATTAAAAAACAATTAAAACACAATTTTTTGACATTTTTTCTCTTTACAACGTATGATGTGTTGATTTATGCAATAGTGGTTTCTTGTCATTGAGTAAAAAACGTATGTACGTAGAATCTCAAAGCGGCAATAGATTGAGAGACAGAAGAAAAGGGAAATGGACACGGCTTGACATATTGTATAGAGAAAATAATAAAAGACTGATCTGAAATCCTTTCTTGAAAGGTTTTTTCGACATGACAGAATTAGAAGATTAATCAAATGCAGTGTGTAACTAGTAGTCTTACCCAGAGTTGTAACCGATGAAAAAATTAGGATCGGATCGGCCGCTAAACAGCCGATCAGACACTTTTTTTTGTCACATTTTCAAGTTTTTTAGACGAAAAAACATCCGAAAAAATTTTTTTTCAAAACATAAATCGGTAAAAATTCGGCCGATTGAAAAATTTAATCGGATCAATCCCGTACTGATTTGTGGATCCGGTTACAACTCTGGTCTTATCCGTTCTATTCAAATACCTATTCATAATTAGAAAACTCAGACAGATGCTGAGTAAGTTTTAGTCCACTAGTGAGCTCTATGCATGTGCTGAACTTTTTCTACTGTAAATTAATAACAATGAAACATATGCAAATGCCATAATAGATTTACCTCACTATGATTTTTATAGAAATCTTGTATAATTGAAAAATTTCACCGGAAATCATTATTCTCTCTCTCGTTTGATACTATCAAAAAACACAATTTCTCATAATATTGAGTCACACATACACACACAACGTATAAACGCAGATGATGAAATAAATAAATCATCGAATAACCATTAAGTTGCCATGTCTGAATAAGAATGATTGAGCAATACGTTCATTTATGAACAATAGAAGATCATAAGAATATCACAACAGAAAAAAAGAAAAATACGCAGATGTGTGATGTGCTCTTCTATAGAAAGCGTGAGTGAGTTGAATAAATCAATGGAAGAAAAAAAATTTACCTTTCGTTTCCCAATTTGTTTGCATTGAAGGTGGCCAAGTTGTATTCATTCTGTCATCTTTTGTTGGTGATGATGATTGTGAAATAAATGTTGGATTATTAAGATAGTTAAATTGTGTTAAATTTAATGTTGTTGCACGTGAAAAATCGGTCATTGAATTTGGAGGTGTAATAGATGATGTATTTGAACCGGAGCTACATGTACCATTTGATGATGTGCCGGGAGGAAGTGTTGAAGATAAATTAGAATAACACATTTTATGATTACCATTGTTATTTAAAAAGTTTGTTGATAATGAAGAAGATGATGGTTGATGATGACTGATACATTGTCCTAATGGACTTTTTAGTTCAGCGACGTTTGCAAAAAATGGTAATGGACTACCAGGAAATCCCCAAAAGTTTGATTGTTGATTACAACTGCCTAACATACTTTGATTGGATAATAGCATTGTTTCATGTGATCAGTGTAATAGAATAAAATACATAAATAACAAAATATAACATATTCTAGGACAAAAATATTGAAAAATTAGGTAAGACAATGTAATATATATTCTCAGTCTGTTTCAAACTATCTGAGCAGCATCATTAAAATGAACAGAATTTGAAAAGATCCTGATCTGCTAGACTGATTTTTGTAAAATAAAACTGCAATAGGTATTCAATTCAAACGTTTATGGAAAAATGAGCATATATGAGAGATAGTCAATATCAACATTAGTATTACCTATCCACTGATTATTTTAGTATGTTGAGCGACAAATTAGAAGTCGGTTGCATACTCAATTAAGCAGAAACGTGTGCCCTAAAACTCGAGTGCTAAAGTTTACTCTAGACTATCTGGAGTGTTAACATTGAACTTGACAGAATTTTTCTATCATCCTAATAAGTTATTGCTTCAAAAAAGGGCGGGATTCCCCTCATCATTCGCAATGACTAATATATTTCATTTGGCATCATGTATCTGAGATACCTGTAAAAGTAAAAATGTAGAGATAGAAGAATATACTTTTATAAATAATTATGATGTATTATTTTTTTTTTCAATACTTACACAAGAAAATATACGTATTCTTTCGAAGTTTATTGTGTTTAAAATAGCTAGACTCTTTATTCTCGTTTCCGTTAAAACAATTAATCAAGTGTATTCATCTCAAGCATATCAATGATGTGAAGAGAGAGAGAAAGAGAGAGTCTATATATTGATCGGTTTTCAATAGCAATCGAAATACTTTGAATACATTGAAGCAATGATAATAATAAAAAAGAGAGTGTATATATATATATAGAGAGAGAGAGAGACCGAGTATTAGAACAAAATATTGTATGTAATAATGAATACAAAAATATATAGTCTATTAGAGAAAATATTTTATCCTTTTTTATAGGTCGAGCGTATCATTTTCATTTTCTTGTTCTGTATTCACCTGATGTGCGTAGCAAGACAGACACATATACCCACACATGTACACATTTTCTTCCTTCAATAACGGATCGTTGTCTGATTCGTGTAGAAATAAAAGATTTCTATTAGTTGTTTGTCTGTAAAGAGAGATATGATAAAAATTCTGTCGTTTCTGAACTTATTTATTGGTTCCAGAAAAAAAAATATGTATTAAACACGACTTTATTATGTTCTTTCCTTACAAAACAACAAGATTTTACACTAAATAAATTTTTCTGCATGATGTTTTCGAACATGTTTTTTTTATGATGGATAATTTAGACAGAAAACGATTCGTACTCTTAAGTACATTCGCTCAATTACAAGAAATATTTCTATTCTTTGGATCGAAGAATCCATACATGTACCATTAAATACGACAATCGTCTTCTTTTTTCATTTAACAAACGAAAATTATACTGTAGATAAACAATTTTGTCAAGAACAAATAGTACTAAATGGTTATTTCAAGAAAGATCATTAAATAATTTCAAAAGATTTTATATAATATGTTTTTAGTAAATTTTGTGTTCCAGAACTATTACGATTTTGTTATAAATCAAGATTTTGTCTTCTTTAAACTGTCGCATTTTACTTTTGTATATCGATGTATTGCTTTATTCCATTTTATTTCATATAAGAATATTTTTTTTCTGTATGGTTTCAATTATGCTAATTAATTGGTCCTAATGTTAAAGAGCAATGAATATTTCTTTCATTGTTTGGTTCACTTTGTTCTCGTTAGTTATATATCACCATATATTTCTTATGACTATCAATCAATTTTAAAAGCAAATTAGACAAGAGCTATAAAAAGAAGAAAAATGTGGCAATGAAATTTATTTTTATGTATGTCTATTATAAACAAGTGGTTCGTGAAAGACGAGAGTCGGGAGAGAGTGACGAGAGAGAGTGAAAAATCAACAACAGTATTTTTGTGGTGCTTCATTTAAGTGCCGACTCAAGTCTTTATTTTGATTTTAAGCTTGTCATTACTCATGGAACGTGGTCTTAAGTCAAGAATTGATTGAAAATATGTCCAAAAATGTCTTAAACCAATGTTCTAAAACAACCGACATACGGAAACAAACTTAACATTGATCTAAGTCTACATTTAAGTTCATGAATTTAAGAATGTTCTAATCCAAATCACATATCATGTTCTTTTACAATCTTTTCTCACGCACTGTATAGAGTCCTAATAGAAAATGTTTTGTGCGAAGTCGAGCGAAACCGACGAAAGAGAATATTTTCTCATTGTCGCTTGTGTATAGACTATGATAATAATAAACATTTTTCACAACTAATAGAAATCGAAATGATCGAAAAAAACACAGGATGAATCATTCCTTGAATTATGTTTAGAGAAGAAAAAAAAAGATAATTAATTTGCGATCCAAAAGATAATAGTCATTACTTTTGTTCAATTTCATAGAAAAATGTTTATAAATATGTGACGCTATTGACAGTTAAAAGAAAGATCAGTGTAATAAAAAGTGAGAAAAAGGCAAAGACAGTTTGAATGTAGACCACTAAAGAAGAAATGTTTATAATACATGTGACATTTAACAACATGTATTATTTTCATCACAAACTCTTACTCTTCTCTTGTCTGTGTTTATTATATACAATTTCTATCGTATATGTATGTGTGTTTGAGTGTGTAGGCCAATTCCATGTATCATGTAATGAAAATCAAATTAGACCGTATAATATGTCATTTACTCAAAACAACACATTTGCTGTAAAAAAAAGGAAAAAGAATAGAAAAGAAAATTATGTAATAAAGCAGTATACACTCCAAGTGAAAAATGATACATCAATTTTTTAGCTGACAAATAATTCCTCGTCTGTTTTATTCATCGTTCAAAATTGATTGTGTTCGAATCCAAATATTGAGGTTGAACAGATAAATAAAGCAAAATCTTCAAAAAATTTTGTTTTGATGTTATCTTATTGTTAAGAAATATCCCCCCACCTGTCCTTCGCTATACTTTAAAATTTTAGTTTACATATGAGAAACTACCAGTTTCAAGTCATCCAAATGATTTTTATCAAATAAATGAGTATGAACAAATATCACGTAAATTTTTTACCTTTTCACGAATTATAAACTTTTTCACCAATCACAACCGTTTAATTGAGAGAACAGCAAAATCAAACAAATGTATCTAGACATATTTGAGTTGGTATGTGTGTCTACTTTCACAATGCAGAGCGTAAGTCTCTTTAGCTAAATTCTTAAATACTTTCCAGAAAATTTTTCAACACTCACTAGTGATTTCAAACATCTGGTTTCCGGGAGACCCTGCATTTTTCCAAAATTGAGTCGAGTTTTTGGACGAACTACATCATTATGTAAGTTAGAAAAAAGCATCCATCATCTTCAAAATAAGATACTGTACAAATCAGTACGACATTTATTCGTAAAGTTATGACCGATTTCCTACATCTCTCCAAAACATCTGAACTAACTAATCAAAATTGATATATCTTTTTTTATTCAGTAATACGAAGTATTTCGGAGAATTCTTTCCCATGACAGATCGTAGAACGATAATCTTTTTTTTGTTTGAATATTGATAGTAAATTTTTAAATTCGGCTCTAGTTTTTTGCTAAAATTCAGATTTTCTGAAAGCCTTTTAGAGATTTCTACCGGTTTTAAACATTAAACGCAATAAAAAATAAGATTAGGTAAAAATTATTTCCTAAATTCGATGAAATTGAGTATTTACTTTGATTTAAAACTATTTTGACATTTCTAATATGTAATCTGAAAAAACTTGTTGTAATACTTGTAGATTTTGGAAATAGTTATAGGTAGAAAGCCAAAAATTATTTTGCGATCATTATTTGATATCATCTATGTTTATTGGATTTTTCGTTTAATTCGTATGTAAAATAAAAAAGATTTTCTAACTGTAAGAAGCCCTCTATACGTCAAAGCAATAGGCAATAAACGTTATTTTGTTTGTCATTGAATTTTTTCCACTTGGTTTTTGCATTCGACATTTTATGAAAAAGTGTTAGATAATAACGAAAAATGAAAAAAGTTCAGATAATAACGTGTTGAATAAGTTTATCAACATGTTTAATAAACATCTCTCTAAAACGAGTTGTTAATTTTTAGCAGCAGTCATTAGTGAAAAGATTTTATTTGTACCAAATGAATTTTATTTATTAACCGACATTTCAGTCTCCTCATGGAGTTATTATCAAGAAAAATACACATTTATAATTCAAAGTATAGTTATACAATGAGCAGTCTACTTCATAAACGGCAGGCGAAAAAAGTGATCGTCCTATATTATTTTTGATTTTTCTTCTCAACCATAATGGCTAGAACAAATCTGAAAGGAGATCTAAATAGCTGAAACCCTAGTGAATGTACTTGCATGCAGGTACTTGGTCAAGTATCCTCGCAAGCTTTGTCCAACGTTCTTGCGCTTTTTTGCAAGTAAACTAAGTCCTTGCCAAGAAATCAAGTATCCGCTTCCAGGTACATCCACTAGGGAAGAGACTTCTATCATAAAATTTGTGTATGTGAATTCTTTAAGAGTTACTGTCAGCAGAATTTCTCGAAAACTAGGATCATAGGAAGTTATCAGAATTCGATCAGTAAATTTTTTGCAAACAATTTTATCAGTTAGAGGAGCAGACATTTTTTAACAAAATGAGACATCTCCCAGCTCTCCCCGTTCTTATGAACTGTTAGTCTATTGCATGGTTGTATCTGATGGAATCCTGCCGTCATAATGTATCGCTAGTATACTGGTGTTCGCTTAAATTTGGTGTGAAAGAATTACAGAATAGACAGATAGTTTCGTTCTTTTTATCAAACTGTATGCAACTGAAGCCCTGAAAATATATTTTTCATGATTTCCTGTTCATTTTGCTGGTTTTCACGGTCTGCGATCTTTCATCAATTGCATGCAGTGATGGCACTAATTCAAACAAGATTTTCACTATTGTTTCTAACCTCCTACATGGAAAAAAATTTGACTCATTATGAAAACTGACACTATCGCTAAATTTAATGTCGCTTTTATCATAAACAGCTGAATGTTTTGCAATTTCTGAGATGGAGTTTTATGTTTTGCCACACAGTTCTGATGTTTCGTTAACTTTCTCTCAAAACTCTCGCTTTCGCCTATGTACTATGAACCACAATCGCAATAAATATCATAAACAGAATTTTTACCTGACATATTATTTCGAACCATATTTTCTAGCTCATTACACGCAATTTGTCTACTCTTATTTAAAATATTGCCTATACGCCTTGAACGTCTGTGAATGTTTGAACTTTTTCACTTTTCAAATTTTGCTTTAACTTATCTGTCATTCCCACATTATTTGTTGATAATAATTTCATAAAGGAAAAGATTAATTGTATGAGTTCAACAATCATTATTTTAAAACTTTTATTTAAAACAGGAGCTTTCGATTACAACTGTAATGATCGTCAGCTACATTTAAACGAAAAACACTCACAGTATATATATATATACTGTGAGTGTATCTTATCTGTCATATCTTTTGAATGTGGAACTACAACTTAGTGGCGTAACTACGATTTTTTACCATTGGACCAACTCCACTAGTTCGAAAAAAACGGCGCACTATAAGAATTTGAGAAAAGAAACTGAGCCAAAAAACCTTTTTGCAAATTTGCAGCTGGGAAAACCACAAAGTTCAGAATTTTATTGGGCCAAGGCTAAAAAGCGCATTGAGCTATGGCCTAATGGCTTCCCCCCCTCCCATAGTTACGCCATTGTTACAACTGTCGCTAAATTTTCAACGTTGTTTTTTGGTTCTATATCTTTATCCTTTTGACTATTTTAATAATCTTCTTTACCGTTTCAGTGACATAGGAGGGTACCTTACTATGTATCAGCAATTTACAAAGGGCTGTAATATCTGACTTATTGATTTGATTTTTATTGACTGTCATAACCCTGTCTAATATATTACTCGCTATATTCTGTTTTATTAAATCATTGTGATCTGATCTGAAATCTAACAATGACTTTGCAGCAGTTGGTTTTATATACCAACTTGTCTTAATTACATCTTATATTTAATCGATTTGAAGAACTACACCTAAAAACGCTCATGATGAACGTTATGAGCGGTTTTAGGTGTAGTTCTTCAAATCGATAAAGTATGATATATGTATGACACATACGCGAAAGCGAGAGTTTTGAGAGGAGGTTAAAGAAACATCAAAACTGTGTAGCAAAACATAAAACTAATCTCTCAGAGATCACAAAACATTCAATTGTTTATGATAAAATCGACATTAAATTTAGCGATAGTGTCAGTTTTCATAATGAGTCAAATGTTTTTGCATGTAGGAGGTCAGAGAACAGTATATTCAGTAGTTAATAAGTCGTACAACCATAAAATGAATATTAGTCACTGGCGGGATCCAATAATAAAAATAAATGAATAAAAAAGGATAACAGTTCAAAAGAAGGAAAATGAAAGAATAAAGTGGAAAACAACAGATAGTGTAACTCAAAGTAAAGAACTGACGCACGAAAATAACAGATACAACTTAAGGAGGCAAGACAGTTTAAGCAGTAAATATCGCCTTTGTATCCTATTCTTGTATTTTGAATTGCATTCTAAAATTCTTTAATTTTTTAACTTACGTAAGTTTAAGGCTTAAAGATTTAAAATATGTTTGTTTCAGATCGGTTGGGTCTATAAACCAATTTTTGAATTTATTAACCCTTTGAGTCCAAATTATTTTTGCTGGATTAAATGTAATTCGTAATTCTCAATTTTCTCCATCAGAACTCAACTTTTATGCAATAAAGATATCATATTTGGAATCAGGATGAAAAAATGAATCTACTGATGTATATCCCTATCCTACTCGAGTACGTTAATTTTTTTCGACTTTTTACGTTGAAAAATCATCGAGATTTTCACCCAAAACTGAAAATCAGCTTAAAATTTCGAAATATAGAACAGTCGACTGAGTTTTTGATCCTGATTCTGAATATGATATTTTTATTACATAGAAGTTGAGTTCTGATCGAGAAAATTGAAAACTACGGGCAGAATTCCGACTTTTTCGTTACTGATTTAGAAAAAAATGAATTTTCTCAGCAACGAAACAAAATTTGAAAAAAAGCAAGTTATACTTTTGAAGCCGACACTTCAGCAAATATAATGGGATGTAAATGATAGTTCCAACCCTTAAGAAAAGAATGGAAATGAAGACTTACATGATTCTTAGAAAAATTAAATATATTTGATTTACTAAAAATCGTTTTCTCCTAGTTTATTTTATAGACAGTGACACATAAGTGCATCTGCTGTTAATTAGCTAATTCTCCATTGCTTCTTTCCAAGAGATTACGTACTGATTTTTATAAACTATGTTGTGAAAACTAATTATAAAACAGGTGTAGCTTTGTTTATACTCTGGGACTCAAAACTTTAAGCTACTGATAAAGATATGTTATCATATCGAAACGTCTAGTCTAGTATTTTATCAATAAATTAAATGGGTATACGAAACAAAAGTTCACAAAATTCAATCAGAACTTCACTATTTGCACTATGTCCATCGTTGTACAGAATATAGACACAGAACAGTGATTCAATTTTGTAGTTTACTACAAAGTTAGGTTCATATGTTCGAACCTCTATTCGCACAAAACTGGTTTTGTTTTTCGATAGTTTTAGTTTAGAATACTATAATGGAATATTTTTCTGTTTATATTCTAACAGAATAAAACTTATATCAATTTCACTATTTCGTACAGAAAACAGCGTTAAGTTATGAAGATATTCACTACTGATAAACAAACGAAAACAGTTAATTTTAGCAGTCAGAAGAGGGTACACTAGTGAGAACATCTTCTCAACATCTCATTAATTTCATCAGAAAAAGGCTACTATACTTTTTTCATTAAGGGGTTGATAAACATTTTTTATTAGCACACCATTGACTTATCAGTTAATCATGCAAAAAGGAGATCATAAAAATTACAATATAAAAAAGAAAAATAGTTTCAAATTGCTTAGTTCTAACTACGAGCAATAATTTAACAAAAACAAATGGAATATCAAAGAAAATCATTGTGTTTTACAAACAATTGAATCATAATTTTAAATTTTTGACCTTTGTTTGACATTGGATTGTTCTTCCAAAACTCTTTCACGCATACGATAATTCAACTTGTGAGCTTCATCGAAGAACGGCTGTGTTTCTGATTTAACACGTTCGAACCAAGCCACTACTTTAGGATAATTTGCCTTGTCTATATCAAAACCAGCACCTATCGGTTGCATCAATTCACAAGCACCTTCAAAACAATGCAAAATAATTTTTTTAATTTATTTATAATAAATCATAGTACTACCTAGCAAATCAGCAAATGTCATTTGATCACCAGCTAAATAATTTGTTCTTAGAAAAACCTTTTCAAGATATTTAGTTGATTCTTGCCATTTCTCATACCATGTATTCAATTCTTTTTCATTTGGTGGTGTATTCGTCAATTTTGGATTAATAATCTACAAGAAAATAAAAGTGTGAATTTATTTATCATGTCAGTTTATTTATATTTTACTTTTTTTCTAAATAACATTGAACCATTTGCTCTTAAATTCAAATGTTGCCAATTTGAATATTCATTGACTCGAGCTCGTTTTTCAAGTTCAGGAGGATACCATGATGACGCCTCATTTTTATATTTATCACACAAATATTGAAAAATAGCCACACTAGAAAAATGTTTAAATGATAAAATATAATAATAATCATTCCTTTAATTTAAACAAAAACCTTTCTGTTAAAACAAAACCATTGTCATCAATTACTGGTACTTTTTTCATTGGATTCAATTTTTCATATTCACTCGTTAAATGTTCACCTTTGTAAAACAAAAACAACAATAGACGATGATATAAAATAAAATTCGTTTTACTTGTATAATATTACCTTTTCGTATTGCTATTTCTTTAGCATCAAATGGAATTTTAGTCATTTTCAGAAATATGTATAATGCACGACATGGTTGAGACATCAAATCATAATAGTATAATAATTTTGGCATGGCTAGACTATTGAAGACTATCTAAAGTGAAGAATATTTTTTTACATAAAAACGATTCTTTATTCGAAAAATTCATATTATAGATATATACAACTATTATAATCTCTTGCTGTAGCATGACATAATTTAAGGCGCCTTTAGAATAATCTACACGTCTTGATCTTGTTTATTCTTAACAGTCTTTTTCTTCTCATATAAATTGTTAATAATGTCATCTAATATCGATATAGCACTTTCAACATTAACACTTCTAAGTGTATATAGTGGATTTTTTTTATTAGAAAAATTACGCACATTAGAACATCGAATTGAAAATAAAAAACGTCATATTCAAATATCAGAAATGGAATTATGGCAATTAAATTCCGATATATCACGATCAATTTTAAAAGATATTCATTTAACAGATAAATTACAAGAATTAAAGTCAGATGAAATATGTTGGTATAAACAACAACAACAAAATGAATTACATATCTAATATCAAATATTGATCATGATTGACACAGAGCCTTGCTTGACTACGCAAAATATAAACTTTCCGCAATGTAGGTAGAGAGGGAATATTTTATTTTTTTCAAAACTCCTTTTTTCGAGTTCAATATGATCTGTGTTATGTGACGAAATGTGTTGTTTCTAATTGAATGCATCATAACACATTGGAATTATTTTCTCTCATGCTTTAGATGAGCAGTCATTGTAGAATTTTTTGTTTTTTGGCACCTCTCAGAGTCGAATATAGGGATAATAGTTTTTTCAATCTGTACTTTCAAATGGAATCCACAGATTTTGTGCGTTATGCTTGAAGGAGGAAAAAAGGAACTCGTTAATCAAAATTCAAAAATCTTTTTTTCTGAAAAAGTGTTTTTATTCAGTTTCAATATCTGTATGGATATTTGATACATCGTGTTTTGTAGGTTTTTTTTTAATTTTCTCTTCCTGCTTGGATACAGTCCATTTACACAGAATCGGTATGATGTCTACTAAACTCCGCGAAAAGGAGAGAATAAAAAGTTAAAGAAAATTTACTGAGTTCGAACGCGCTCTATTCAAACAATTCAGATATGAAATCGCGTGAAGTACTCAAAATTTGGAATTATTAACACATTTTGAGATTATATAGATATAGTTGAACGCACTTTTTAATTTTTCTAAAAAATTTTTGATTATCTAAAAATATCTCAGATAAAATTCTACTAGGCTTTTAACAAATAATATGCTGAAAACGATTAACATTTGTCCTTCTAAAATACCGCTTTTCATGAATTTTAAACTGGATATAAACGTTTGTAATCTAAGAGTATATCACAAAAGTATACAGCAGCAGAGACAAAAAAGAAGAAAAGAAAGAGATGCGCTAAAATTGAAAAAACAAAACATTAAAGAAAAACAAATATTCACAACGCAAATAACAGAAGAAAATGACAACAACAAAAAAAAAAAGTAGAGAAAATCATTTGTCTTTTATATTTATCAGCACTTTAGATATATTATGCATTTATTTGTTCCTTCAAAAATTTTGTAAAAAGAAAAAGTTAATAGGAACAGCTTTTATTTTAAAACGTCTAGTGCTAAATGCTTTGGAGAATAATGAAAATAATCGAACATATTTACAAAGTAGATAACAAATCTACTTTATATCGTTACACGATAGATATTTGTGAGTATGAGTCTGTTAATATTAATAAATTAGAATTAACTAGAAATAAATAAAAACCAATCACTCATAGTCAAATATGTGCGAGTATGTGACTTAATTAATTAAAAATTACAATGGAGAACATAAGTACAAAACAAAAATTCAAAGCAAAAAAGAAAATGTTTTCCTAAATATTATTTCGATGAGAATTATTTAAACACACACAAAAAAAAAAACTTTAACGAGAATCGATAAGTAAAAATTAAAAAGTGAGCAAATGAAGAATAAATAAATTTTAAAAACTTGTTGAGTAAAAAGCTCTTTGTTTTTAAGTAAACTATAAATTGGCTGCAGCAAATGCAGATGGAGCCCAAACAATACAAGTTCTATCAGCACTTGTCGTAACGAATGACATTTCGTGTGGATGCCATCTTGCTTGAATTATTTTATCCGTATGAGCAGCAACATTTGATACTATAAGCGGTTTAGTAAGATCACCTAATAAGCAAGAAAACAAGAAAATGACTATGACACAAAATCTTGTCAAAGAGTGATTTCACGAGCAATTCACTCTAACATTCATCAACTAGACTTTTTTGAGTAGGATAAAGTTACAATTTCTTACCACTCAGATTTGTCATTACA